ATACTGGACAGAGTTTCAAATGTGTTTTTTAATCCACCAGTGCCCCCTAGTGACCTGAAGATGAATAGCTATATCAAAACATCACAGCATGTATTTTAATTACAATATGCCTGATAGTTATGTGCATATCTTAATTAAGTATAAATTTTAATTTATACTGGGCATCGGGACTTTTTTTTGAGATGGAGTCTCACTCTGTCGCCCAGTGCAGTGGCGCAATCTTCGCTCACTGCAACCTCTGCCTCCTGGGTTCTGGTTCAAGCAATTCTGCCTCAGCCTCCCAAGTAGCTAGGATATATAAATTATATAAAAATAAAATATAAATTTTTATTAAGATATGCACATAACTAGTCAGACACATTATACTTTTACTTATAACACCTATACTATTAACTCGTTTGCCCTCCGGTTCCAGTTGACCCCAGCTGTTAACTCCTAAACCCGGATCAATCCTACCATTTACTCCATCCCCACTCTGCATCAACATGCAGGAGGAGCGCTCTCAGCAGAGCCCTCAAAGGGTCTGGCCTATCTTCTTGTTCGTTGGTCAGTGCCTCTCCCAAATCCCACCACACTCATAAAACCATGCATCTCGAAAACACAAGAACCATTCATCTACTGATTTGCCTCAATTCCTGCTCTTCAAAGGGGACCAATGAAAACTACAGAACTTGGGAGCTAGCTAAAAAATGGAGAATCTGAGGCCGCATCCCAGACCTACTGAATCGCAATCTGCATTGCAACAAGAGTTGCATGCCCATTAAAATTTAACAAGCACTGGTTCACAACTACTAGACCTAACATCAATATTTTATGACAAACATTTCGTGACACTCTTTTGCTATCCTAAAATAAAATTCAGCATTAACCTACATGCATAATTCCAAAAAGTAAGTCAGTATACCACCACGGTAGTATAAAGGTGAATAAAAAGGAAAGATTTATATGAATTATATTTCAGTATAAAAATGTTCAACACAACTAAAGACATAAAGAACAACCCCATTTTCAGTTATAATTTTTGCAAAGTTAAAAAAAAAAGAACAACCCCACAAGTTTCCAAAACATACCTTAAGGGGCTCCTACCATTCTGCAGAGAACCACCGGTCTACAATCCCTCGCACCTTTCTTTTTGCCCCGTCTCTCGGGTGGGAATCTCTCTCCCTTGTAAAGCTGAGGCAGTCTCTCTAGAATCTTGACTGAACATCTCCTTCTAGTTACCATATTCTCTCTGATTCCCTTAACAGTCAAGCTTATCAACCACCATAGTGTCCATTTACTCATCCCTCAGTCACCAACCCACATTAACCTACCCTTCACTTCCATCAGTAAACCTAAGGTATAAGGATCATTAAAGCTTTCCCAAGTGTCCACATCAATGAACATGCCTCATTACCTAGCTTTTATCTCTATCATGGACATTGTTGGTTGCATACCCAGTCTCTATTCTCCCTCTTCCTTCCTAAAAGAACTCTAGTGTGTTCATGAATGCATTCCTCTCCCCTGTGATGAAGTGACGCCACCCTGGATTGATCCTGTTTAGTCTAACCCAATCAGATCATGGCATTCCTCTGACAACTGTATAGGGTTAGACAAGTGACCTAAGTTGGTCCAATCAGACTGAAGGACCAAGTGTGGGAGTTTTTCCTCTCTCCTCCTCTTGCTCTAGAGAATGAGAAAGTGTGTATGTTACTGGTAGTCATCTTGCAACCCTAAAGGAAACCAACCTGACTGTGGAAAGCCAAGAGATGGGTCTCTGAATCAGAGCCTGGAATTCATTCTTCCTCTGGACTTTGTGAGATAATTTTCCTATTTAAGCAATAGGGTTTTCCCAGCTGAAAGCATCCTAACATAGCCATTTCTCCTTGAAACTTTTCTCCCTTGATTTTCTAAACACCACTCTTTTCTGCTCCTACTTCTACTTCTCAAGTCTGGCCTCCCCCTTTCCTCCACCTATTCCTTACATTTTGGTGTCCTCTAAGGTTTGTTGTGATCTTTTCTACCCAAAGTACATGTTCACCTGAAATAATCTCAGCTTGGCCGGGTACAGTGGCTCATGCCTGTAATCCCAGCACTTTGGGAGGCCAAAGCAGGCGAATCATGAGGTCAGGAGTTTGACACCAGCCTGGCCAACATGGTGAACCCGTCTCTACTAAAAATACAAAAAATTAGCTGGGTGTGGTGGCGGGTGCCTATAACCCCAGGTACTTGGGAGGCTGAAGCAGAATAGCTTGAACCTGGGAGAGAGGTGGCAGTGAGCCAAGATCATACCACTGTACTCCAGCCTGGGTGACAGAGTGTGACTTGGTCTCAAATAATCATCATCATCATCATCATCATCATCATCTCAGCTCCCTGTATCTTCCCCTTGAAACATCAAAATTGAGCTACCAGGCTGGGCGCGGTGGCTCACGCCTGTAATCCTAGCACTTTGGGAGGCCGAAGTGGGTGGATCACCTGAGGTCAGGAATTCAAGACCAGCCTGGCCACTGTGGTGAAACCCCATCTTAAAAAAAAAAATTGAGCTACCAGCACTTCCCCCAATGGAATACCCCGGCTGATGTTCCCCAGCTCATGTACCTTAAGAACTACCTGTCTTTCAAAATTAAATTTAAGTGTCCTGTCTGGGAAGCCTTCCCTGAAGTCCATGGTTTCTTTATCTTTTTTTGTGCCATGGACCTCTCTGGCAGTCTGTGAGCCGTATGAACCCCTTTTCAAAATAATGCTTCTAATTGCATACAAAAAAATGCCAACTATATTGAAATAATTTTATTTTTTAGACTTAAATATCTGACATAAGCAGTATGTGCTTTTTTATTAGCCCACTAAACAAAAAGATCTAGCAGTGAGTCTTATAACCACCATAGTTCTGAAGTAGTAATGAGCATAAATGATATTTTGAGATCTGCGACAACTGTAATGTAATATGAAAATGTCTGTGACTTGTGCTGGTACTGTGACTTCTGTTGGTAACAGGTACTGCTAATACTACTGTGGTTTGATACAATAGGAGCTTGTTAAATGAATGGCCCCCAGTGAAGTATACCTACTCATATCTATGACCTTGTGCAGTTCCCCACCACATCAACTCTGAACTTGGCTACATTACTTGTTTTGACATCAGCAAATATGATGCTGTTTGTGCCTTGGGACTTGTCCTCTTGGAACTCAGTAACCAGGTGAGGAAGCCCAAGCTAGGCCCATGGTGGGGCACCAAGCCCCGGGGCATGGGAGTGAGGCCAACTTCCAGTCAAGCCACCAGTTGAATTCAGCCACTGGGAGACACCAGCAGAACTGCCCAGCGAACCTACAGATTTTGAGAAATAATTACTGTTTTGGCCAGGCGTGGTGGCTCACACCTGTAATCCCAGCACTTTGGGAAGCTGAGGTGGGAGAATCACTTGAGGTCAGGAATTCAAAACCAGCCTGGCCAAGATGGTGAAACCCCGTCTCTACTAAAAACACAAAAATTAGACAGGCACGGTGGTGGGTGCCTGTAATCCCAGCTACTCAGGAGGCTGAGGCAGGAGAATTGCTTGAACCCAGGAGGCAGAGGTTGTGGTGAGCCGAGATCGAGCCACTGCACTCCAGCCTGGGCAACAGAACGAGACAAAAACAATTTTTTTTGTTTTAAGGCACTGGTTTGCAGTGATTTGTTACCCAATAATAGATAAGACTGATGAAGATAAATTTATATTTTTTCCCCCATCAGAGTTCAGGAACCCCCTGAAATATATGTGCAGATCTTCTGAGGAGCTGAGGACCCCCGGATAGGAACCCCTGGTTAAGCCAAGGGTATCTTGCACTCCTTTTTGCTACCTTTGTACACTGTAGGTACACATATAGTTAAACTGGCCACGGCATATCTTTCCTTGTTGTAACCCTGAAATGGAGCTGAGCTCCTAGCACATAACAGGTGTTTAACACACAAATTTATCAAATGAATGTTGATTATAAGATTTGTCTTCCTAAACTGTGAGCTCCCTGAAAAGAGAATAAGAGCAAATACCATGCCTTTTCCAAGTGCTTTACACATACCAACCTACTTTTTATAACAACCCTATGCGGAATATGTTATTACCCCAATTTCACCAGTAGTACAGAGAAAGTAAGTGACTTGTCCAAGGTCACACAGCTAAAAGGTGGCAATGCCAGGACTAGAAGGCAGAATGCATGATTTTACAGCCTTTACTAATGTACATTGCGGAGCTCAATAAAATTTTTAAATGAATAAAACAATCCTGAGATTTCATTAACACTATTTTATGGGTACTATGCTTCTTGAAGACTCAATTTTGTAGATTAATTTCTGGTTGCCTGTGATTTTTATATGACAAAATGCATATAATTTACTTTTTAAAAAGAATAATGGTTTTATGCTGAAGTGCAGATTTTCGAAATTAAGTCTTCATCGTAAAAGTCGATTTTTTTCAAAGGGCTCGAGTTCACAAAATGCAGGAAAGGGGGGTCCACTAGTCCATGTTAAATAATGTTCCCTGGGGAGTGGAGCAAAGCTCCAGCTTCCCTCGCCACCCAGCCGTCCCACCCCAGCCTCCCCCACACCCCGCACTTCTCCTAAGATGACCCTCCCCCACCCACACATCAGGTTCTGAAACCTGACCCTGCCAGGCAACTAAAGCCGCGAACCCCGCAGTGACCCGAGCTGGCCTCACTCTACCCTACTATCCCAAGAGGCCACCAGCCGAGGGGATGGGTACTTTGGGGGAGGCACTTTAAATTTTCAAAGTGTTTGATTCACGAAAGCACAACCCAAAAGGCCGCCCCCACCCACGAGGGGGTCTCCCGCCTCCACCCAGTAGCCGCTCATCCCCAGTAGACCGGTGAATGAACCGCGGGGCCAGGACGCAGCCGGCCCAGTGGCGGGAGAAGCCTCGGGGTGAGTCGGCCCTGGCCGGCGGAGAGGTCCCAAGAGAGCGCGGGGAGGGCTCGGGCGGCCGGGAGGGGGCGGTGACAGCTGTGACCCAGCTCCACGCTCTCACCTTGAACATGTCGCTGGCAACGGTGGCTCTGGCAGGGTCACCCCGGCCTCGGCCACGCCCACTATGGAGAGGTGACTACGGAGGCCCGATAGGGCCTTGATTTCTCCAACCGCAAGCAGGTCGCGGTGCGGGTGGCGGCCGTACGGCAAACTCGGTACGGCAAAGGCTTATTACAATCACCCGGTTCTAGAAGCCGCGTCGCTGAGCCGCAGAACGTCGCGCCACAGGCGGCGGATGAACGCAAGACCCGCCCTCCAGGAGGCTCCGCCCCTGCGCCGGCGGTTGCTAGGCGGCAAGAAAGCGCCGGCTCTGTGTGGGCGGTACGCGGAGGCGCGAGGAGGGAGGTGCCCGGCGTCGCGCGGCTCTGGGAAACTGCCTCAGCAGCCGCGAAACTGCCTTCGCCGCCGCGATTGGGCGCCCAGCGGCGTGGGCTGGCATTTCTGTGAGCACAGGTTGCCGGGAGGGGGCGCTGGGAGAGCCTCGGGCGGCTTCGAAAGCCTCGCAGCCGGAAGCCGCCGATTGGCGGACTGGGTTTACCTTAAGAAAGGTTTTAAGATTTTTAACCGTTGACTGGACGTTTCTCAGGTTTTAAATTTAAACTAACATACTATGTCCTTTAATCGGAAAAGGCTCAGACCTTATTTTTTTCCCCTTTAAGAAACAAGCGGTAAGCCTCCTCTCTGGGAATCAAATGTTTGTCTCTTAATACTTATAGAAGTCAATGATAATGGCAATAATTATCTTATTAACTAGAGTAACAAGCACTGATACAGCACTTAGGATGTGCGCAGCCCTAATCTAAGTTCTTTATACACATTCATCTAATCTTTCCAACGACGGAAGTAGGTGGGCATGATTATTATTCCCAATACATAGATGAAGAAACTGAGGCACGGAGAAGTAATTTGTACAAGACCACACAGAAAGTGGGAAGCTAGGATCCGAACCCATTAGTCTGCCCTTGAAACCTGTGTTCTAGCAAAAATAATTGTTGCACTGTGTCATAATGAGGATATATTTCCTATTTCATTCTGTATTTCTGCTCTAGTCCTATAGAAAGTGTAAGCCCCATTCAGGCGGGCATCTGGAAAAATTTGGAATTTTTACAGCGACATGTCACTGCCCTTCAGCCAAAACCCACTAGGGACTCGCCTACAGTTTTTGGATTTCTCATTGATCCAAGGAAATCGCACGTGTAGGAACACAGTCACATATTTCAGTAAAAGAGTGTTAGAAAGATTTATTATAGGATTTAGGCTTTGGTTCGGTGATTTTGGGGCGAGTTCAAGGAAGCAGGAGCTTTGCTCTGGATTGGGTGTTGTTAGGAAGCAATGGTAACACCAAGGCCCAGCTGTGAATGCCAGCCATCTCCCAGATGTTAAGGGCTGCTTTTTCTTAAGAGGATTGTATATTCCAAGGCATCCCCAAGGAGAATTTTTTTTTTTTTTTTTTTTTTTGAGACGGAGTCTTGTTCCGTCTCCAGGCTAGAGTGCAGTGGTGCGATCTGGGCTCACTGCAACCTCTGACTCCCCGGTTCAAGTGATTCTACTGCCTCAGCTTCCCCCGTAGCTGGGATTACAGGCATGTGCCACCACGCCTAGCTAATTTTTTTTTTTTTTTGTATATTTAGTAGGGATGGGGTTTCACCATGTTGGCCAGGATGGTCTCGATCCCCTGACCTCGTGATCTAACTGCCTTGGTCTCCCAAAGTGCTGTGATTACAGGTGTGAGCCACTTTCTCTGGCCCAAGGTGAAATATTGAATAGACTCAGAAGGCTCTCTGCAGCACAGTGTAACATCACACATACATAAAAGTGTGAAACATATTGAGAAAATAGGGCAGAAGTTCCTAATTCAGGGGGAATGTGAACTTGGGGAAAAAATGACAACTTCATTTTCACTAACCTCTAACTGAACTTTGTTTCTTTCAGTTATAGTGTAGACAGCAAACAACAGTATATTAGCATGGATGATAAAAGCAGATATTTTCATGCTACATTGCAGTCATGTCAGAGATCTTGAAATTTTATGCTCATTACTACTTCAAAAATACAGTAGTTATTAGAGCTCATTTAATGCATTAAGAAGACACATTTACTATAATTTTGTTTTAAAAATATTTTGATAATTTCAGTATAATGGGAGCACTTTGTAATCCTATGTATTTTATGTTATGCATTTTAAAACCAATTCTTAGAAGAGATCTGTCCATAGGGGTCCATGGCACCAAAAGAAATGATAAAGAGCCCCTGGTTTAGTAACAGAGACCAAGCCGTGACTAAGAATTTGGGAGCTGCATCCAAACTGGAGTGTTACTGCATCCAAATTGGTTGCTTTAAAGAATAGAAAGTTGGAGGTGGAATCAGAAATTTAGTGCACAGCCTCTCCCTTTACCAAGGAGGGAACTGAACCACTGAGAGGTTAAGAGACTTGCCCAAAGTCCCACTGCTATTTGATGATAAAACTGGGACAAAACATTTTTAGACAAACATGTAAAAACCCTCCACTGTGCTAGGCACTGAGAAAGCCATAGTTAACAAGATGCCTCCTGCCCTCAATGAGCTTTTTGGTAGACAGCTGGGGAGTGATGAGATTGAATTGCTGAGCTACAAAGTTAACTCTAGGTGCAGTGTGGTAGGTCAATGGGAGAAGAATAAGACTGGAGACAGGCCAGTTAGAAGGCTATGGATAGATTTACTTGTCTTTTCCATATACCATAAAATATTTTTGGTACACAAAGAATGTCAACTGTAAGCAACTTTAAGAGATCCACGATGCCTTCCTTTTTAAAGAATTCAGAACTAGTATAACAGTCATATGGCACTTGAGTCTTGTCCAAACGGTGTCATAGTATAAATTATGACCGCAAAGGCTTAATTTATGTACTTTCAGATTACTTCATTGGAGGGAAAATGAATCGTTCTTCAAATGCAACACTTAAAGGTATTCTGAAATCAGATACTAGGACCTCAGGAAAAGCTCACAGAGTACATTTCACAAGTGTACGAACCACAGGATCATCATTACCATCGTAAGTACCCATATTTTGCCTTGTGTCACTTTCCACAACCGTAGTTTCCAAACAGTACTTATCCAGATAACTTCAATCTTCTTGTTTTGTAAATCAGAGATTTTGTGTTTTTGTTTTGTTTTTGTTTGTTTTGAGGCGGAGTCTCACTCTGTAGCCCAGGCTGGAGTGCAGTGGCACGATCTCAGCTCGCTGTAACGTCCGCCTCCCAGGTTTAAGCGATTCTCCTGCCTCAGCCTCCTGAGTAGCTGGGATTACAGGCACCCGCCACCACACCCAGCTGATGTTTGTATTTTTAGTAGAGACGGGGTTTCACCATGTTGGTCAGGATGATCTCCATCTCTTAACCTTGTAGTCCGCCTGCCTCGGTCTCCCAAAGTGCTGGGATTACAGGAGTGAGCCACCACATCCAGCTGATTTTGTGTTTTAAAATTACTTTCCAATTGAATAATAATTGCATTTTCTAATTTACAAAGCATATTAACACACATCTATTTGATCCTGATACAATCTTGTGAAAGAATTTTATTATTATATTTTACAAATGAAGAAGCAGCAACTGTGAGAAGGTAAGTGGTTTCAGGAAGTTAAACAGCTAATAAATAGCATCAGCTAGGATTCAAAGCTTTGTTTCCATACTTCAGGCTTTTTCTCTCGTTTTTTTTTTTTTTTTTTTTTTTTTTTTTTTTGAGACAGAGTCTCACTCTGCCACCCAGGCTGGAGTGCAGTGATCTTGGCTCACTGCAACCTCTGCCTCTTATGTTCAAGTGATTCTCCTGCCTCAGCCTCCCAAGTAGCTGGGATTACAAGTGTGCGCCACCACACCTGGCTAATTCTTGTATTTTCAGTAGAGACGGAGTTTCACCATGTTGGCCAGGATGGTCTCCATCTCTTGATCTTGTAGTCCGCCTGCCTCGGCCTCCCAAAGTGCTGGGATTACAGGCATGAGCCACTGTGCTCATTTTATCTTGTAGTCTGCATTTTGCCAGCCAATGGGTAACCTTATGCAGGAGTACCTGTCTTTGTACCTGGCCCTGTAAGGGGTAATGATGGGGTGGGAAGGTATGAAGGAGGAGACCTCTACAGTCTGCCAGTGCTGGGATATGATCCAAAGTAGAATAATTCTAGGCCGGGTGTAGTGGGCTCATGCCTGTAATCCCAGCACTTTGGGGGGCCGAGGTGGGTGGATCACAAGGTCAGGAGTTCAAGACCAGCCTGGCCAATGTGGTGAAATCCTGTCTCTACTAAAAATACAAAAAATAACTGGGCGTAGTGGCGAGCGACTGTAGTTCCAGCTAGTCGGGAGGCTGAAGCAGGAGAATCGCTTGAACCCAGGAGGTAGAGGTTGAAGTGAGCTGAGATCACACCACTGCACTCCAGCCTGGGCAACAGAGGGAGACTCCGTCTCAAAAAACAAAAAACAAAAAACGTAGAATAATTCTGACCTGACCTGGATGAACCTGGTTCAAGCAAAGATCAGAGAAGGAAGTTTCTTTTTCTAGGGCATAGTCATCCATGCCCAGAAGAGAACTGAGCCTCCTGTAACTTTCACTATTCCCCATTCCATTTTCATAGCACTTGAACTAGTTGGACATTTCATTTTAGGTCATGGATGTTTTTGGGAAGTGAACTTGCCTCCTCACACTTTTTATTTATAATATATGTGCCTCTTAATGATACATTTATATTTTATATGCCTCTTCATGATAAAGTCTTAGCCAGAACTTTTTTTTTTAATCTCAAGGGAAATCCCCTCAGGTATTTCACATCCTCATTCTGAATAGATTCCGCAAATGACCAGTTCCAATTACCACATCCAAATGTTCCTCATTAGGTTAGTCTTAGAGTGGGGGATGGGGAGGTACAGGAGGAAGAAGCATAAATTGATAGTTCTCTAAGGTTTTAGAAAAATGAAAACTACTTTGTAAATATTAACCTCTTTTTTTCCTCACAGAAAGGTTCAAGATATTGCAGCTCGAATAATACAGAGGGCTTGGTTAGCTTATATAAACAAAATGATATTTCAACTCCTAAAATGTGCAATTTGTGCAGCGGTATGTATTTTGCTTTTTGTTTTCTCAGATGGATTTAATTATCAAACTAAAAGATCTGTTAATTAAAGATAGAATAGATAACCTTTATCTCTTCTGTTTGGATCTGATAATATTATATGGAGTTCTGGAATTGTTTCTTCTGTTAGCCCTAAATGAATATTTCTGGATTTTTTAAAATGTGGATGACTATTTATACTTCCTGTTTTGTTTCTAAATTTGATTCCTTATTTAAAAATGTGAGACAGTTCTCTTTCAAGTATAAAAAGCTCCAAATCTACAAGGTGCGGTGTCTCACGCCTGTAATCTCAGCACTTTGGGAGGCCGAGGCAGAGAGGCCAGGAGTTCAATACTAGCCTGGCCAACACTGTGAAACCCTGTCTCTACTAAAATACAAAAAAACAGCCAGGTGTGGTGGCATGCGCCTGTAGTCGCAGCTACTTGGGAGGCTAAAGCAGGAGAATTGCTTGAACCAGTGAGACTCTGTCCCCCACCCAAAAAATCTCTGAATTAAAAGTGCCCTTACCCACGGTGGCATGTGCCTGTAATCCCAGCTACTCAGGAGGCTGAGGCAGGAGAATTGCCTGAACCCAGGAGGCGGAGGTTGCGGTGAGCCGAGATCGCGCCATTGCACTCCAGCCTGGGTAACAAGAGCGAAACTCCGTCTCAAAAATAAAATAAAATAAAATAAAAGTGCCCTTACCTTTCATCCAGCAATTTTACTTCTAAGAATCCATTCTAATACACACACACACAATTTGATTGTAGCATTGTTTGTAACAGCAAAGGAAGTAAACTGTATAATTACTATGGATAGAATGCTGGTTAAATAAGTATTGCTGCTTTTATAGTGTTAAACTTTGTGGCTTTAACGTGATTCTGCAATTGAAAGATAACCAAGATAGCTCATCAGTTAAAAAAGCAAGCACCGGACAGTATGAAGAATATGATTCTACTTGAGTGAAAAACAAAACCAAAAAAAGATGCACACCCCCCCCTCCTCCAGAAAGCAACTCTGGCAATCCTAGCAGAGCCTTCCTTGGTATAGTACCAAATATTCTAATAAGACATCCCATAATTCTAGTAGTCTAGTATTAGTAATACTCTTTTTTGTTTGAGATAGAGTCTCACTCTGTCCCCAGGCTGGAGTGCAGTGGCATGATCTTGGCTCACTGCAAACTCTGCCCCCCAGCTTCAAGCAATTCTCCTGCCTCAGCCTCCCTAGTAGCTGGGACTACAGGTTTGTCCCACCATGGCCAGCTAATTTTTTTTATTTTATTTTTAGTAGAGATGGGGTTTTACCATGTTGGCCAGGCTGGTCTTGAACTCCTGACCTCAAGTGATCCACTCGCCTTGGCCTCCCAAAGTGCTGGGATTACAGGCATGAGCCACCACACCTGGCCAATTAGTGATACTCTAAGGGCATTTAGCAGCTCTGAAAAAAAAAATTAGTCTGAGCAATGTGTACACTGTTTACCATCTGACTCACAGACCTATTTCTGATGTCAGTAAAAGTAGAATACTGCTGGGCGCGGTGGCTCACAGCTGTAATCCCAGCACTTTGGGAGGCCAAGGTGTCCGGATTGCCTGAGGTCAGCAGTTCAAGACCAGTCAGGCCAACATGGTAAAACCCTGTCTGTACTAAAAATACAAAAAAAATTAGCTGGGCATGGTGGCATGCACCTATAATCCCAGCTACTCAGGAGGCTGAGGCAGGGAAATTGCTTGAACCAGGGAGGTGGAGATTGCAGTGAGCCAAGATCATGCCAATGTACTCCAGCCTGGGTGATAGAGCAAGACTCTGTCTCAACAAAAAAAAGAAACAGAAAAGAAAGCAGAATACTTCAGAGAAAACCCACCCACGTAAACTCCTGACATTTCAGGTCTATTATCTGTTGTCTTTGAATATGGAACTTGTATTTAATTATTATAATGCTGGTTGTATAGTATTTTTAGATTCTTTTGTAACAGAAGAAAGTTAATTGTTTTTATCTGTTATAGTAATGCTTTAATACCTTAATAATGTTTTATCCTTTTAAAAGCCCTTTATTTATTTATTTATTTATTTTTTGAGACAGTGTCTCGTTCTGTTGCCCAAGCTGGAGTACAGTGGTGCAGTCTTGGCTCACTGCAACCTCTGCCTCCCAGTTCAAGCAATTCTCATGCCTCAGCCTCCCGAGTAGCTGGAACTACAGGTGCCTGCCATCACACCCAGCAAATTTTTGTATTTTTAGTAGAGACAGGGTTTCACCATGTTGGCCAGGTTGGTCTTGAACTCTTGACCTCAGGTGATCCTCCTGCCTCGGCCTCCCAAAGTGCTGGGATTATAGGTATAAGCCACAGCACCTGGCCTAAAAGCCCTTTAGTGTACGTTTTGATGTGATTATCATAGGCATAAAGGGGTTGGTTGGGGGAAAGAGTTGGGGCTTTAGAGTCAAACAGAAATCAGTGAATCCTGGCTTCCCAGTTTACTACCTGTATCCCTTTTTATACATTGCAAAGACTTCCTGAGCCTCAGCCTTCTCATCTGTAAAATAGGAGTGATAATATTCTCATAATGAGCTGGGTACAGTAGCTCATGCCTATAATCCCAGCACTTTGGGAGGCCAAGGTGGGCAGATCACCTGGGGTCAGGAGTTCAAGACCAGCCTGACCAACATGGAGAAACCCCATCTCTACTAAAAATACAAAATTAGCTGGGCATGGTGGCGCATGCTGTAATCCCACCTACTCAGGAGTCTGACGCAAGAGAATCACCTGAACCCAGGAGGTGGGGGTTGTGGTGAGCCAAGATTGTGCTATTGCACTCCAGCCTTGGCAATGAGAGCAAAACTCCATCTCAAAAAAAAAATTCTCATAATGTTGCTAGTGTAAGGATTAAATGAGCTAATGTATATAAGGCACCTAACATAGTATATGGTATATAAAAGGTGCTTAAAAGCTAGTAACTTATTACTATTATAATCCTCATCTTACAGTGATTCATTCAACAAATAAAGCATCTGCTGTGTTCCAGGCACTGTATTAGATGCTGGGAATATAGTGTTAAAGAGAGAAGCCACCATCCCTGCCTTCATGAAGCTTACAGGCTAGTAGGAGGCACAGACAAGTTGATAAGTAATTATAATATATTGTGAAAAGTGCTGTCATAGGGAAAGAATAGTGCCTTTGATCTCTAAAAGGGACAGATACCCCAACTTGGAGGCCAAAATGATGAAGTAACTAGGTCAAAGCTACACAGATGGTACGTGGAGGTGCCGAAACAAAAACCCACCCCTTCAGAACTCCAAGCCCAGTGTACTGTTCACTTTACCATGTTGCCTCTCTTACAGTCTGTACATTGTGTCTGGGCAGGATACTGCTGTCCTTTTACATCACTGTCCTCTATTTCAGGAATTCTTTGTGACACATGAGATACTGAAGAAAGTGACCCCCTTAGAGGCTAAACTTCTTAAAGATCCTACCATGAAGTGTAAAATTAGATTTAGGTAATGTGTCTATGCTGATTTATTTCAAGAAGTACTTAGTTAATATGAGGAAATCTTAGAAATGTATTTTGTTAACCCTCATAACGTCTCAGAATATAATGACAAAGTAAATGTGTTATCCTTATTTACATTTGTTATGTGAAGAGACTGAGGCATGACTCTGGCTAAAAGTTGCTATGCTGTCATCTCTCATTGTGTATCCATTCTTCCACATGAGAATAGTTCTGAGCATGCCAAAGTGTGGGTCTTACATCCTACGTGATCATTTCATTACCAGTTCTTTATATGCTCCGACATAGCCTTTACCTTGTATGCAAGAAACTATATAAACTATCTTAAGTACAAGGGGGAAAAGTAACGGAGCCCAAAACCTGATGCCAAGTAACTAATTTCTTATATTTATTTCAGATTTAGAGGCGAAACATTTCCACCTTTCATCGTGTTTAAAATTTTTCTTCATACTGAAGGCCATGGTTATAAGTACTTCAGCGGAAAAAATGTATTCGGGCCATCAAGTGAGGTGACGTTTCATGGTGTACATTTTCTGTTAATTTAGCTTCTTAACATCTGTGTAGTATCTGAATTGCATTCAAATTATACAGAATAAGTTATTTCACCATTAAACAGCCCACCAGGCAGGTAGTGTTTTTTTTTTAAGCACCATGTTTCAAAGTGTCTCCACTTACTAGCTAAAAAAAAATTGGAGTAAATTACTTATTTAAGGCTCTAGAAAATATCCATCAGTTTTTTTGTATTAAAGTTTTCATTTCTTAATAATAGACTAGGCCAGGCGCGGTGGCTCACGCCTATAATCCCAGCATTTTGGGAGGCCGAGGTAGGCGGATCACCTGAGGTCAGGAGTTTGAAACCAGCCTGGCCAACATGGTGAAACCCCATCTCTACTAAAGATACAAAAATTAGCCAGGCATACTGGCACGTGTCTGTAATCCCAGCTACTCGTGAGGCTGAAGCAGGAGAATCACTTGAACCCGGGATGTGGAGGCTACAGTGAGCCAAGATTGTACCACTGCACTCCAGCCTGTGGATCAGAGTGAGACTCTGTTTCAAAAACGAAAAAATAGACTAAAATTGGTCAGGGCTCTTAAACTATGAAGAACATTTAATTTAATGCCATTTTATTTGTTTTAATGGATTTTTTTTTTTTTCTGGTAGCACATTTAGAAAAAAAATGTGCTGGACTGTGCTATTGAAAATGAACTTTCAAAATATTTGTCTTTTTTCACATGAATTATCATCATACTTTTTTTTTGAGATGGAATTTCACTTTTGTTGCCCAGACTAGAGTGCTATGGCACAATCTTGGCTCACTGCAACCTCTGCCTCCCAGGTTCAAGTGATTCTCCTGCCTCAGCCTCCCGAGTAGCTGGGATTACAGGCATGTGCCACCACACACGGCACGTTTTTGTATTTTAAGTAGAGATGGGGTTTCACCCCTGACCAGTTGGTCAGGCTGGTCTCAAACTCCTGACCTCAGGTGATCCACCCGCCTCAGCCTCCTAAAGTGCTGGGATTACAGGCATGAGCCACTGTGCCTGGCCCTCTCATCATACTTTTAAGTTTCATGAATATTAACCACAAATTGTGTCTGCAGTATAGGAATCACCTGCGCATCTTGTTAAAATGGTGCCCCTGCTGCTGGTCCATAAACCACATTTTAAAAAAATTAATTCATTCAGCTACTCTGTATCTTTTGATTGGAGAGTTTAGTCCATTTACATCAATGTTATTACTGATAAGTATGGACTTTTGCCATTTTCTTATTTGTTGTCTGGTTGTTTTGTGGTCTTCTCTTCCTTCGTTCCTTCCCGCCTGCCTTCCTTTTAGTGAAGGTGATTTTCTCTGGTGGCATGTTTTAATTTCTTGCTTTTTATTTTTTATGTATCTGTTGTATGTTTTGGATTTGGGGTTACCATGAGGCTTGCAAACAATTGTAACTCGTTAAACTGATGACAAATTAACACTGATTGCATCAACAAACAAATAATTAACAAACAAGAGAAACCAAACAAAAACTCTGCACTTTAACTTCATCTCCCCACTTTTTAACTTTTTGTTGTTTCTGTTAATATTTTATTGTACTGTCTTGAAAAGTTGTTGCAGTTATTATTTTTTATCAGTTCATCTTCTAGTCTTTCTATTCAAGATACGAGTTTATACACCACAATTCAATGTTATAATACTCTGTTTTTCTGTATACTTACTATTACCTGTGAATTTTGTGCTTTCAGATGATTTCTTACAGTTTATTAATGCCCTTTTCTTTCAGATTGAAGAATTCCCTATAGCATTTCTTGTAGGACAAGTCTGTTATTGACAAAATCCCTCAGCTTCTGTTTGTCTGAGAAAGTCTTTATTTCTCCTTATGTTTGAAGGATATTTTCACTGCATATACTATTCTAGGATAAAAGTTTTTATTTTTCCTTCAGCACTTAAAATATGTTACATCACTCTCTCAGCCTGTAAGGTTTCCACTGAGAAGTCTGCTGCCAGACATATTGGAACTCCTTTGAATGTTGTTTCTTTTCTCTTGTTGATTTTAGGATTCTTTCTTTATCCTTGACCTTTGGGAGTTTGATTAGTAAATGCCTTAAGGTAGTCTTTGGGTTAAATCTGCTTGGTATTCTATAACCTTCTTTACTTAAATACTGATATCTTTCTCTAAATTTGGGAAGTTCTCTGCTATTATCCCTTTGAATAAACTTTCTACCCTGATCTATCTCTCTACCACCTTTTTAGGGCCAATAATTCTTTTTTTTTTTTTTGAGATGGAGTCTCGCTCTGTCTCCCAGGCTGGAGTACAGTGGCGTGTTCTCTGCTCACTGCAACCTCCGTCTCTCGGGTTCAAGCAATTCTTCTGCCTCAGCCTCCTGAGTATCTGGGATTACAGGCACATGCCACCACACCTGGCTAATTTTTGTATTTTTAGTAGAGATGGGGTTTCACCATGTTGGTCAGGCTGGTCTCAAACCCATGACCTTGTGATCCGCCCACCTTGGCCTCCCAAAATGCTGGGATTACAGGTGTGAGCCACTGTGCCTGGCCTTTTAGGGCCAATAATTCTTAGATTCGCCATTTTGAGGCTATTTTCTAAATCTTGTAGGCATGTGTCATTCTTTTTTATGTTTTTTTCTTTTGTCTGCTCTGATTGTGTATTTTCATATAGCCTGTCTTATAGCTCACTAATTCTTCTGTGTGATCAGTTCCTCTGTTAGGAGACTCTGATGCATTCTTCAGTATGTCAGTTGCAATTTTCAGCTCCAGAATTTCTGCTTGATTATTATTTTTTTTTGAGACGAAGTTTTTTGCTCTTGTTGCCCAGGCTAGAGTGCAATGGTACAATTTCGGCTCACCATACCTCCGTCTCCTGGGTTCAGGAGATTCTCCTGCCTCAGCCACCAGAGTAGCTGGGATTATAGGCATGCACCACCACACACAGCTAATTTTTTTGTATTTTTAGTAGAGACGGGGTTTCTCCATGTTGGTCAGACTGGTCTCAAACTCCCAACCTCAGGTGATCCACCCGCCTTGGCCTCCCAAAGTGCTGGGATTACAGGCATGAGCCACTGAGCCCTGTTTGCTTGATTATTTTTAATTATTTCAGTCTCTTTGTTAAATTTATCTGATAGGATTCTGAATTCCGTCTCTGTGTTATCTCGAATTTTGCTGAGCTTTCTCAAAACAGCTATTTTGGTGTTTTTTTTTTTTTTTTAAATCAGAACAGGAACACAAAAATAGCTATTTTGAAATATCTAACTTTAAGATTACATGCCTCTGTCTCTCTAGGATTGGCCACTGGTGCCTTATTTCGTTTCTTTGGTGAGGTCGTGTTTTCCCAAATGGTCTTGATGCGTATGGAGGTTTGCCAGTGTTTGAACATCAGAGAGTTAGGTATTGTAGTATTTATTATAGTCTTTACAGTCTGGGCTTGTTGGTAACCCATCCTGCATGAAAAGGCTTTTCAGGTATTCAAAGGGAACCCGGGTGTCATGATCTAAATCTTTGGTCACTGCAACCATATCTGCAATAGGGGGCACCCCAAGCCCAGTAAGGCAGTGGCTGTTGCAGAGTTGGAGAGGTACTGCCTTGTTCTTGGCTAAGATCTGGAAGAATTCCCTGGATTACCAGGCAGAGACTCCTGTTCTCTTTCCTTACTTTTTCCCCAATAAATGGAATCTCTCTTTCTTTCTGTACTGAACAGCCTAGAGCTGGGGAAGGGGTAAAACAGGCACCCTTGTGCCCACCACCACACTAGGACTGCACCTGAAGCAGGCACAGCACTCTCTGCCGAGGCCCACAGTGACCACTGCCTGGCTACCACTTAGGTTCACTCAAAGTCCAAGGGCTCTACAATCAGCAGGTGGTGAATCCGGACAGGCTTGTGATATAGATCACACTTCTAATAGCAACGCTCTACAATAGAGGTTTTACTCCTTGGACCCTTTTTTTTTTTTTGAGACGGAGTTTCGCTCTTGTTACCCAGGCTGGAGTGCAATGGCGCGATCTCGGCTCACCGCAACCTCCGCCCCCTGGGTTCAGGCAATTCTCCTGCCTCAGCCTCCAGAGTAGCTGGGATTACAGGCACGTGCCACCGTGCCCAGCTAATTTTTTGTAATTTTTAGTAGAGATGAGGTTTCACCATGTTGACCAGGATGGTCTCGATCTGTTGACCTCGTGATCCACCCGCCTCGGCCTCCCAAAATGCTGGGATTACAGGCTTGAGCCACTGCGCCTGGCCTCCTTGGACCCTTATACAGGACTTAAGTTTAAAAAAAGATGGACATTCTCATATTTAGCCATTTATAAACCACACATCAAAGGTTATTTTCCTGTAACTCCGGCAAGATCCCCCTCCTGGAAATGTTGTATGGAAATACTATGGCCCATCTTAAATCATAAGTTCTAGCATGTATGCAGGAGAGGTGACCACACAGTCTGGCTGTTTCTGATCAGATCCTGCATGTGCAGCACTGATTCTGACGAGTTTTAGAAAAGGAAAAGGGATTGCTTTTCTCCATGTTCTCAGGCAATATCAGAGAAAATTTAACTTTATTTCAGAAATATAACAAATGAATCTGGGCATGGTGACTCATGCCTATAGTCCCAGCACTTTGGGAGGCCAAGGTGGGTGGATCACCTGAGGTCAGGAGTTCAAGACCAGCCTGGCCAACATGGTGAAACCCCATCTCTACTAAAAATACAAAATTAGCCAAGTGTGGTGGTGGATGCCTGTAATCCCAGCTACTTGGGAGGCTGAGGCAAGAGAATCACTTGAACCCGGGAGGCAAAGGTTGCAATGAGCTGAGATTGCCCCATTACACTCCAGCCTGGGCAACAAGAGCAAAACTCTGTCTCAAAAACAAAAAAAAAAAAAAAAAGAAAAACAGAAATATATCAAATGAGCTACATGTTTTCATTATGGAACATGGTGTTTCAAAAACATTAATATTTAAATAGATTGACTTCAAATGTGGGAATACATGTTTATCCTACATTTGAAGAATAAATTTATGCCACATTTATCTATAAAATAAGCTTGTAGTTACCCCTATAAAATATCATCAATTGTTTCTTTCCTGAGACTATATAATGAGGCCTTTTTTTTTTTTTTTTTTTTTTTTTGAAACGCAGTCTCATACTATCACCCGGGCTGGAGTGCAATGGAGTGATCTTGGCTCACTGCAACCTCTGCCTCCCGGGTTCAATGGTTCTCCTGCCTCAGTGTCCTGAGTAGCTGGGACTACAGGCACCCACCACCACACTTGGCTAATTTTGTATTTTTAGTAGAGATGGGGTTTCACCATGTTAGCCAGGCTGGTCTCAAATACCTGACCTCATGATTCTCCTGCCTCAGCCTCCCAAAGTGCTGGGATTACAGGCATGAGCCACTGTACCCAGCTTTACTGAGGCTTTTTCAAGAACTGAAATCCTTCTGGGTCTACTCCTGCCAGACCCTGTGCCGTACCCAGGCTTGAGCAAATGAGAACCTTAGAGGCAGTGATTGGAAATCACTGCTTATGCATTAAAACTCATAGTAATGCTGTATAGTAACTTAAATTTTTGTTTAAATTAGCCCACAGATAGAAAAATATGCCTCCGTGCCTTTCTTTTCTGTGCTACGTCTTTCACTCTCCTGGGGTAGTCATTGTTAATGGTTTGCTGTGTATCCTTCATGTTTCCCATGAAAATATACACACAGAGATTTAAAAATTTTGTTCTTATTATAAACATGTGTTCGTACTATTGACCTTGAATTTTCCACTAAACATCATAATGGGTTTTAAATGATCAGAACATACCCATCTTGAAGAGAACAGTTTAAGCTTCCTTTTTCCCTTTAGTTCAGCTGCAAAACAAACTCTGGTAACAGTTGGATTCGAGGTTGATAGAAAACTGATAAATGTGGAATTTTCCTCACTCTAAGCTTAACTCTGTTGCTCTTTGTTTTTGAGTTTTGGTTTGTTTGTTTTTTTCTTTTTGAGGCAAGGTCTCACTCTGTTGCCCAGGCTAGAGTGCAGTGGCGTACTCTCAGCTCACTCCAGCTTCCCCCTCCCAGGCTCAAGCAATTCTTATGCCTCAACCAGCTGAGTAACTGGGATTACAAATATGTGCCACCACGCCTGGCTAATTTTTGTATTTTTTTAGTAGAGACAGGGTTTTGCTATGTTGGTCAGGCTGGTCTCAAACTCCCGGCCTCAAGCAATCTGCCCACTTCAGCCTCCCAAAGTGCTGAGCCTGCTGAGTACTTTCTATCAAATATGAGCTTAGGCTGGGTGCAGTGGATCACGCCTGTAATCCCAGAACTTTGGGAGGCCAAGGCAGGCAGATCACAAGGTCAGGAGTTCGAGACCAGCCTGGTAAACATGGTGAAACCCCGTCTCTACTAAAAATACAAAAATTAGCCGGGCATGGTGGTGGCACCTGTAATCCCAGCTACTCGGGAGGCTGAGGCAGGAGAATTGCTTGAAACCAGAAGGCGAAGGTTGCAGTGAGCCACGCCACTGCGCTCCAGCCTGGGCGACACAGTGAGACTCCATCTCGAAAAAATAAATAAATAAACAAATACGAACTTAATTTATGCACATTACTATATTTAATCCTCATAAACACTACAATGTATTTTCTGTTATTATCCTCATTTTAAAAAAGACTAAGGGCTAAGTGCTGTGGCTCACATCTGTAATCCTAACACTTTGGGAGGCTGAGGCAGATGGATCACTTGAGGTCAGGAGTTTGAGACCAGCCTGACCAACATGGTGAAACCCTATCTCTGCTAAAAATGCAAAAATTAGCCAACTGTGGTGGCACATGCCTGTAATCCCAGCTATTTGGGAGGCTGAGGCAGGAGGCTCAGTTGAACCCAGGAGGCAGAGATTGCAGTGAGCAGCCGAGATTGCACTACTACTGCACTCCAGCCTGGGTGACAGAGTGAGACTCTGTCCAAAAACAAAAAAGAAGAAAAAAGAAAAAAACTAAGTAACTTGCCTCTGGTCTCACACCTAGAAAGTAAAGGAACCGAAATCAAGCCCTAGTCAGTCTGCCTCCAAAGTCCAAGTTCTTAACCACTCCTGAGAGTTAGGAACTATGCTAAATACATATTCTCTTAGATGGCCCTGAAATAATTCTGGTAAGGGACACATTATTCCCGTTTTCCCTATGAGGAAGCTGGAAGTTGGAAAGACTTGCCAGGAGCATAACTGAGACTTGAACACTTCTCTGTGTTTCCACTGTACTATGTACATATTGAGGTTAAAACAACCATGCAGTTATGGTGGTTTTGTTGATTCTGAGCCTTTATATAATTGAACTGTTCCAAACCAAGAAACTGTTCCAAGGCAGGGTTACTAGTTATTACCTCCTCCGTGAATGAGAATTTCCAGTAGGAACGGGGAAGTGTCTTGAGATACTAGCGTAGCTTTGCAAGCCCAAGTGTGGACCGAGGCCAGCAAATAGCCACAGAGCTGTGGGGGCCTCTGGCCACAGGGATGCTGAGTATGAGAGTAAGTGTCAGATTTAGAGATAGCCCCCTTTGGCCCTTTCAATCACCCACTAAGAACAGAAACTGCCTCTTGAATCCTACCCTGATTGGCTGGTATCCTGGAATCTTTGCCCAGTTTTTGCCCTTGCTTTTCTCCAGGCTCTAGGCTCTACTTTCCCATTGCTTCCTATGGAGAAGGACTTTCTTGAATATGGTCATATACTATGGATGTCTGAGAAAGAATATCTTGGCCCCTGGACAGCAAACATTTTTCTTTTTTTTGAGACAGTCTCACTCTGTCACCCAGGCTGGAATCCAGTGGCTGGACCTTGGCTCACTGCAACCTCCGACTCCCAGGTTCAAGTGATTTTCCTGCCTCAGCCTCCCGAGTAGCTGGGACTACAGGCACCTGGCACCATGGCCAGCTAATTTTTATATTTGTAGTAGAGATGGGGTTTCACTATGTTGGCCAGGCTGGTCTCGAATTCCTGACCTTGTGATCCACCCACCTCAGCCTCCCAAACTGCTGGGATTATAGGCATGAGCCACCACGCCTGGCCACATTTTTCAAACCCCTTTCACAGACAGGCAGAGAGCTTGCCCTATGCTTCCAGGTGTGTTTTTCTTTGGCTGAGGACCAGAATGGGCCAGACACAGATGAGTCACACAGCTGAGGCATTGCACACATAAGGAAACTGGGTCTTGGAGAGATTGGTGGTGGCTGAGTGGGGCAGTGTAGGGAGGACCTGTCAATAAATACCTTTTTTGGGAGGCCAAGGTGGGCAGATCACTTGAGGTCATTTCAGGACCAGCCTGGCCAAAATGGCGAAACCCTGTCTCTACTAAAAATTCTACTAAAAATACAAAGTAAAAAATATTAGCCAGGTGTGGTGGCACGCGCCTGTAGTCCCAGCTACTCGGGAGGCTGAGGCAGGAGAATTGCTTGAACCTGGGAGGCAGAGGTTGCAATGAGCCACGATCGCACCACTTGCACTCCAGCCTGGGCAATAGCGGGAGACTCTATCTCAAAAAAAACAAAAAACAAAAAAAAAACTAAATAAATAAATACCTTTTTTACTGTGGCTCATGCCCATAATCCCAACACTTTAGGAGGCTGAGGCAGGCAGATCACAAGGTCAGGAGTTCGAGACCAACCTGGCCAGCATGATGAAACCCCATCCCTACTAAAAATACAAAAATTAGCCAGGCTTGGTGGTGGGCACCTGTAATCCCAGCTACTTGAGAGACTGAGGCAGGAGAATTGATTGAACCTGGGAGGCGGAGGTTGCAGTGAACCGAGATCTGGCCACTGCACTCCAGCTTGGGCAACAGAGAGAGACTCCATCTCAAAAAAACAAACAACATCAACAACAATAAAACTATGTAGATAAGGCTATAGAAACAATTTTAAGTGGTTTAGAATCCCTATATAATTTATTTGCAAATGCAGCCTTTCTACTGAATAGCAAGCTGCTAGAAGAAAGGAACAACAGTTGATGTATTTGTCAGAAGAAATATGTAAAGGGTGTGCTGATAATTAATGCTATTATGCTACTATTTTTAAAGTCTATTTCCTATTCTCTTTACAGGCAGCAGTTGATGCTTGCAAACTAATGGGTGAAAAGAAATTTCACCGTATAATTATGGAAGATAAACGTATTTTCTGGAACTCCAAAATAACTGATATAAGGGATGTTGTCACCATGCAAGATTATATGCAAGTAAGGAATTTAGGTTTAGATGTTGAAAAACAAACAAACCAAGCAAGTCTTCCTAACTCTGTTGTCCAAGAAGAAAGAATCACACTTTTTTTATTATGGTAAAATACTCACAATATAAAATTTACTATTTTATATCTTTCAATTATGTTCTTTTTTTTTTTTTTTTTGAGACAGAGTCTTGCACTGTTGCCCATGCTGGAGTGTAGTGGTGTAGTCTCGGCTCTCTGCAACCTCTGCCTCCTGGGTTCAAGTGATTCTCCTGCCTCAGCCTCCAGAGTAGCTGGGATTACAAGTGCACACCACCACACCCGGCTAATTTTTTGAATTTTTAGTAGAGACGGGGTTTCACCGTATTGGCCAGACTGGTCTCGAACTCCTGACCTCATGATCCACCCGCCTTGGCCTCTCAAAGTGCTGGGTTTACAGGTGTGAGCCACCATGCCCAGCCCTTTCAATTGTATTCTATAGAATGAAACTTGTTTTTAGATAAGCACTAGAACTTTAAAAAATTTTTTTTAATTTAACTTTTAAGTTCAGGGGTACATGTACAGGTTTGTTACTGTATACAGGTAAACTTATGTCATGGGGGTTTGTTGTTCAGATTATTTTGTCACCCAGATATTAGGCCTAGTACCCATTAATTATTTTTCCTGATCCTCTCCCTCCTCTCACCCTCCACCCTCTGGTAAGCCCCAGTGTGTGTTGTTTCCCTCTATGAGTCCATGTGTTCTCGCTATAAAATTTACCATTTTAAAGTATGTAATTCAGGGGCATTAAGTACATTCACAGGGTTGTGCAAGCATTACCACTATCTAGTTCCAGAACCTTTTCATTACCCCGAAAGGAAACCCTGCATCCAGTAAGCAGTCACTCTCCATTCCTGCATCATTCCAGCCCTGTAAACCACCAGTCTACATTCTGTCTCTATGGATTTGCCTAATATGGATATTTCATATAAAGGAAGTCATGTGATATATGGTATTTTATATGTAGGGGGGGCGATAGCTAAGGAGTTTGGGGGTTCTTATGGGGTGATGGAAATATTCAGAAATATTCATAGGTAGTGGTGATAGTTGCACAACATTATGAATATACGAAAAATCTTTGAGTTGTAGACTTTTTTGAGACAGAGTTTCACTCTTGTCACCCAGGCATGATCTCAGCTCACTGCACCCTCTGCCTCCCGGGTTCAAGTGATTCTCCTGCCCCACCTCCCGAGTAGCTGGGATTACAGGTGCCCGCAACCATGCCCAGCTAATTTTTTAGTATTTTTAGTGGAGACGGGGTTTCATTATGTTGGCTAGGCTGGTCTCAAACTCCTAACCTCAGGCAATCCACCCGTCTCAGCCTCCCAAAGTGCTAGGATTACAGGTGCCTGCCACCATGCCCAGCCAATTTTTTTGTGTTTTTAGTAGAGATGGGGTTTCACTATGTTGGCCAGGCTGGTCTTGAACTCCTAACCTCAGGCAATCTGCCCAACTTGGCTTCCCAAAGTGCTGGGATTACAGGCATGAGCCACCATGCCCAGCCGAGTTATATACTTTAAAATGATTTAAACAGTCAAGTTTCTATTATGTGAAGTTTATATCAACAAAAAAAATCAAAAATTCAAAAATACATGGTGCTTAAAAAAAAGTATATGATGGAGATTTGACCTAGTGGGGAAGGGTTCTCTTATTGTTTGGATGCTTTCTCTACAAGTAACAGCATATTTCCATCTACAAGAGGTTTAAACAATGAAGACCATTTATTGTCCCTTGAAAGAAGTCTGGGGATAGGCAATTCTTGGGCTAGCTAATTCACAGCTTAGTAACATCAGGTTCTGGGCCAGCTTCTCTTCAGTCGTCTTGGCTTCCTTCACATGGAAACGATAACTGCCACATCCTCAGTTCCATTCAAAGGCATGAAGATGGGACTCCTAGCATCTTTCTTTATCTCAAGAAGGAAACTCTTTCCCAGAAATCTCCAAGAGACTTCCCCTTAGGTCCCATTGGTCATAATTGTATCACATGCTCCCCCTAAACCAATCACTGATAAAGGTGAAGCTGGCAAAGGTTGGTTCGTAAAGTTTAAGGAAAGAAGCCATCTTCATAACATAAAAGTGCAAGGTGAAGCAGCAAGTGCTGTTGTAGAAGCTGCAGCAAGTTATCCAGAAGATCTAGCTAAGATAATTGATGAAGGTGGCTGCACTAAACAACAGATTTTCAATGTAGACAAAATAGCCTTATACTGTTAGAAGATGCCCTCTAGGGCTTTCACAGCTAGAGAGGCGAAGTCAATGCCTGGCTTCAAAGGACAGGCTGACTCTCTTGTTAGGAGCTAATGCAGCTGGTAGTAACTTTAACTTAAAGCCAGTGCTCATTTACCGTTCTGAAAATTTTAGGGCCCTTAAGAATTATGCTACATCTGGCTGGGCACGGTGGCTCACGCCTGTAATCCCAGCACTTTGGGAGGCCAAGACTGGCTGATCATTTGAGGTCAAGAGCCCAAAACCAACCTGGCCAATATGGTGAAACCCCATCTCAATTAATAATATAAAAATTAGCTGGGTGTGGTGGCACATGCCTATTGTCCCAGCTACTGGGGAGTCTGAGGCTGGAGAATCACTTGAGCCCAGGAGGCAGAGGTTGCAGTGGGCTGAGATTGTACCACTGCACTCCAGCCTGGGTGACAGAGAAAGACTCTGTCTCAAAAAATATATATATACTAAATCTACTCTGTATAGAGTAATTATATAGCCTGTGCTCTATAAATGGAATAAATACAGCCTGGACGACAGCACGTATATTTACAGCATGGTTTACTGAATATTTTAAGCCCCTGTTGAGACCTACTGCTCAGACAAGACAAAAAAAAAAGATCCCTTTCAAAATATTACAGCTCATTGACAAGGCATCTGGTCACCCAAGAGCTCTGATGGAACTGTGCAAAGAGATGAATATTTTCATGCCTGCTAATACAACATCCATTCTACAGCCCATGGATCAAGGAGTACTTTAACTTTCAAGTCTTATTATTTAAGAAATACATTTCATAAGGCTATAGCTGCCATAGAGAATGATTCCTCTGATGGATGTGGGTAAAGTAAATTTTAAAAATCTAGAAAGGATTCACCATTCTAGATGCTTTTGAGAGCATTCATGAGATGGGCACGGTGGCTCATGGCTGTAATCCCAGTACTTTGGGAGGCTGAGAGGGGAGGATCTCTTGAAGCCAGAGTTTGAGACCATCCTGGGATATACAGGGAGACCCTGTCTCTACAAAAATTTACCCCCCAAAAATTAGCCAGGTGTGGTAGTATGCCTATGATCCCAGCTACTCAGGAAGCCGAGGTGAGGAGATTGCTTGAGCCGTGATTGCACCACTGCACTCTGGCCTGGGTGACAGAGTGAGAACCTGTCTCAAAAAAAAAAAAAAAAAAAAAAATGCCAGGCCAGGTATGGTGGCCCACACTTGTAATCCTAGCACTTTGGGAGGCCAAGGTGGGTGGATCACCTGAGGTCAGGAGTTCATGACCAGCCTGGCCATCATGGTGAAACCCCATCTTTATTTTAAAAAAATGCCACAGCCACCCCAGCCTTCAGCAACCACTACCCTGATCAGTCAGCAGCCATCCACATCAAGGCAAGACCCTCCACCAGCAAAAAGAATAGGACTCACTGAACTCTCAGATGATCATTAGCATTTTTAGCAATAAAGTATTTTTTATCGTTTGGTGGAAATAAGGTCTTGCTATGTTTCCCAGACTGGTCTCGGACTTTTGGGCACATGCAATCTGTCACCTCTGCCTCCATAAGTTCTGGCATTACAGGCATGAGCCATTGTGCCCAGCCACAACAAAGTGTTTTTAAAATAAAAATATGTACATTTTTTGGAAATAATGCTGTTGCACACTTAAACTACAATATAATGTAAATATAACTTTTTTTTGAAACAGAGTCTTGCTATATCACCCAGGCTGTAGTGCACTGGCGCAATCCCAGCTCACCACAACCTCCCCCTCCCGGGTTCAAGCAATTCTCCTGCCTCAGCCTCCTGAGTAGCTGGGATTACAGGAGCACACCATCACACCCAGCTAATTTTTTTTTTTTTTGTATTTTTAGTAGAGACGGGTTTTCACCATGTCGATTAGGCTGGACTCAAACTCCTGATCTTGTGATCCACCTTCCTCGGCTTCCCAAAGTGCTGAGATTACAGATGTGAGCCACTGCACCCAGCCAAACATAACTCTTTTATATGCACTGGGAAACCAAAAAATTAGCATGACTCTATTTGCAATATTCACTCTATTTCCATGGTCTGCATCTGGAACTGCAGTATCTCTGAAGTATGTCTATATATAGCCTTAACTATTCACTCGGTTGCTTCAATGTGAAACATGAAATTAATGCAGTGCCTTGGAGACTCCCAGTGATATTTTCTTTCTGTTAGAGTCTTAGCCTGTGAGTTTAGGGAAGTGAACTAGGAAAAAAATCAAGCCAGGGATGCCAACTATCTTTGCTAAGGACAAAGATCACATACTTTCAGATTGTGAACATGTCAAAGATTAGTGTCATAGAGAGGAGTCCCCAGATAGACATAATGGAAGAGATAGATAAGATCATTGTTGACATTTGTTGAGTCCTGATACAGGTGTGGCACTGCTTTTAACTCACACATGTGTATTATCTTCTTTAATCTTCAAGTTTGTAAATTATGTGACCTTTTTTACAAATGAGAAAAATGAAGTTCAACAAGCCTCAAAAAAACTTGCCTGAGGTCACAGATCTGATAAGTGGCAGAGCAGATGGTTGACAGGTCTGTGATATTTACCCATTTTACTACTGCGCTCAGGAAAAAAATATATACAGTCTTACTTTGCAAGGTAGTGCAGGACCATAAAAATGACTGGCAAATTGAAACCATGCAAAGCAAACTTAATAGTCCATGGGGAAAATTGTGATTGTCCTGTGACTTTTCAAAATTTTTGTCTGTAGTCCCAGCTAGTTGGGAGGCTGAGGCAAGAGGATCACTTAAGCCCAGGAGTTTGAGACTAGCCTGGGCAACATAGTGAGACCCCATCTCTAAGAAAAAAAAAAAAAACAAAACAGCCAGGCATGGTGGCTTACACCTGTATTCCTAGCACTTTGGGAGGCTGAGGCGGGTGGATCATCTGAGGTCAGGAGTTCAAGAAGAGCCTGGCCAACATGGTGAAACCCCATCTCTACTAAAAATACAAAAATTAGCTGGGCATGGTGGCACGTGCCTGTAATTCCAGCTACTCGGGGCGCTGAGGCAGGAGAATTGCTTGAATCGGGACCTGGGAAGCAGAGGATGCAGTCAACTGAGATCATGCCACTGCACTCCAGCCTGGGCTACAGAGTGAGACTCTGTCTCACACACACACAAATAATAATAATAAAAGATTTTTAAAAAATTTTTTAATGAGCTTTTTTTTGTCAAACATTAAAAACTCTCTTGCTAGGCTGAGGCAGGGGAACTGCTTGAATCCAGGAGGCAGAGACTGCAGTGAACCGAGATTGCACCACTGCACTTCAGCCTGGGCAAGATTGAGACTCCATCTCAAAACACACACACACACACACACACACACACACACACACACACAAACTTTCTTGCTGTTATAAATACATAGGAAAATGAAAGAAAAAAACCCAACACATTTAGTACACTTTTAGTACACTATAATTTAAAGCATTAGAAACATAGACAAAGTGTTTTGTTTCTTCATAAAAAATCTTACCAATTGTGAATATACTGAAAACCATTGAATTGTATACTTTAAATTGTGGATTGTATGATATGTGAACCCTAATAAAGCTTGAAAAAACAACTTATCAAGAGTAGTTTAAACAGTGTTTGCCTTCTTGTTCTTCTCATATAACTTACAAGTGTCTTTTCTATGTCTTGGTGCATTGTCATATTCCTTTTAAAATTTGGATCAGCCAACATTTTATTCTTTTCACTTTAAATGTTGCCAAATATCTGAGAGTTCCTTCAGTATGAAGGTTTTTTTTTTTGGCCAGCATCACTTCCACTGGGAAAGCGTCATCCTTTTATCACAGCCACTTTCCTCATTTACGTTGATAAGTTCATCCTCACCAAGTTCCTCTAGCTGTAGATCTGCAGCGTCTTGAATGATGGCAGTGTCAGCATTCCCACAGTCACCTATCTCTTCTAGAACTCCATTACGATTGATTCCAATTTCACTTCAAGTGTTACCACTTTTTGTTTCTTTGATGGCCAATTCCCTCTTCTGATTTTCCATTTTTGTAAAATGTCACATGGATTTATCATTGGGAAACAAAAAGGCAACACAACTATATACTTTGCTGTGTGTGAAATGAATAACAGATTCACAATGACCAGTCACTGATTGACTTTGGAAGGTATGACCTGATTTGTCACTAATCATGATGAACATCTGTCATTTATATTGTGATCTTTGAGCTGAAGAGCTAGCAACAGGAGGCCGGGTGTGGTGGTTCACACCTGTAATCCCAGCACTTTGGGAGGCTGAAGTGGGTGGATCACCTGAGGTCAGGAGTTTGAGACCAGCCTGGCCAATGTGGTGAAACCCTGTCTCTACTAAAACTGCAGAAATTAATCGGTTGTGGTGGCGCATGCCTGTAGTCCCAGCTACTTGGGAGGCTGAGGCAGGAGAATTGCTTGAATTCAGGAGGTGGAGGTTGCAGTAAGCTGAGATCATGCCACTACACTCCAACCTGGATGATAAAGCAAGACTCCATCTCAAAAAAAAAGGTTTGAAAAGGCCAGGTGCAGTGGTTCATGTCTGTAATCCCAACACTTGGGGAGGCAGAGGCCAGAGGATCACTTTAGCCCAAGAGTTTGAGATCTGCCTGGGCAACATGGTGAGACCCCGTTCTCCAGAAAAGAGAAAAAAAGATGAAATGGTGCAAAGGTAGGATTGCCTCCTCTGTATGTGTGTGTCTGTGTGTGTGTGTGTGAGTGTGTGTATGTTGAGAGTATATGTGTATGTGCATCTGTGTGTGTGTGTGTGTGCTTGAAAGCATGAGTGTGACTGTGTGTGTAATATACCCTAAAGGCCTTGTTGTTATCCTGTTTCCTAGCACTGTAACTTTTCCTGCCCCATCATGGCTCTTAAATGCACAATTATAATGTTAAATTGATGATATATATTTGTATTTTTAATTCCTAATTTGATATCATTTTAAATTGGAAAAGAAGAAAAGTGAGATTTCTCTCTCTTTTTTTCTCTTTCTTTCTGGAGTTTCACTCTGTCACCCAGGCTGGAGTGCAGTGTTGCAATCTCAGCTCACTACAACCTCCACCTCCCAGGTTCAAGTGATTCTCCTGCCTTTGCCTCCTGAGTAGCTGGGATTACAGGTGTATGCCACCACGCCCAGCTAATTTTTGTATTTTAGTAGAGACAGGCTTTTACCATGTTGATCAGGCTGGTCTGGAACTTCTGAGCTCGTTATTTGCCTGCCTCGGCCTCCCAAAGTGCTGGGATTACAGGTGTGAGCCACAACACCCAGCTGAAAAGTGAGATTTCTGCAAATACTCCAAATGAAAATAGTGAAATTCTCCAATTCAAACTATAAATGAACTCATCTTGCTAAAAAGATTTGGGCAAAAGTCCTCTCAACAACCTGGACAATATAGTGAGACCCCATCTCTATGAAAAATTTTAAAACTGGCCAAGAATAGTGACTCATGCCTGTAATCCCAGCATTTTGGGAGGCCAAGGCAGGTGGATCACCTGAGGTCAGGAGTTCGAGACCAGCCTGGCCAATATGATGAAACCCCGTCTCTACTAAAAATATAAAAAAATTAACCAGGTGTGGTGGGCATCTGTAATCCCAGCTACTCTGGAGGCTGAGGCAGGAGAATCACTTGAACATAGGAGGCGGAGGTTGCAGTGAGCCGAGATCATGCCACTGCACTCCAGCCTGGGCAACAAGAGCGAAACTCCATTTCAAAAAAAAAAAAATAGCCAGACATGGTGGTGTGTACCTGTAGTCCCAGCTACTTGGGAGGATCACTGGAGCCTGGGAGATTGAAGCTGCTAGCCATGATCATGTCACTGCACTCCAGCCTGGGTGACAGAACAAGACCCTGTCTCAAAAATAATAAGAAAAATTCTTCTCAACCCAAGTACATAATGAACAAGCTCTACCATATATGCAGAACACAGCTATTATCATTAATTTTTAGGCCTAACTTGTCTGAGTTATATTTGCCATAAAAATATAGGCGCATTAAATAAATATTTAGTGAGTGTGATACTATGTGCATGATACTGTGTAGCATAGCTCCTGCCTTCCAATAAGGGAGTTAAGTCATACACAGATAACAAAAACATGGAGTAGTCAGTAATAAGAGTCATAGAAGAGCAATGCCAATAAAGTTCAGAGATGGAATAAAAAAATCCTTTTGGATGAAGTGACATTTGAGTGGAACCATGGAAAATGCGTCTAAAACCATTTTAGTGCACCCATAACCAATCTTTTTTTTTTTTTTTTTTTGAGATAGGGTCTTACTCTCTTGCCCTGGCCGGAGTGCAGTGGTGCAATCTTGGCTCACTGCAACCTCTGCCTCCTGGGCTCAGGTGGTCCTCCTGCCTCAGCCTCCTGAGTAGCTGGGACTACAGGCAAGTGCCACCATGCCCTGCTAATTTTTGCATTTTTAGTAGAAATGGGGATTTACCATTTTGGCCAGACTGGTCTCGAACTCCTGACCTCAGGTGATCCACCCACCTCAGCCTCCCAAAGTTCTGGGATTACAGGTGTGAGCCACCCCACCTAGCCAACTAATCATTCTTAATTGTTTTTTTCCATACAGTATCGCAGTTTTCTGGATGAGGCCCCAGCGTCTTTTGGTGGCAGAAATAACAGCTGGCGAAAATTAAACCTTGAGAACATTCCCAAGTCAATGCTAATATATGACATAGTTCACTATTCAGAGTCTGGAGTAATCTCAACCCGTCTACGAAACGAAATGAAGTTTCTGTCACGGAGACCAGTAACAGAAGAGATGCATAAGCAGCAGTTACAGATTGTTTCTGAAATTAGGTAAAACAGGTTCTTCACTGGGGTTACAATACTAGGCGCATATCTGAAACTGTTCACATTCTGCCCGATAGCTCACTAGAGATAATAGGATATATGGGAAAAATAGGGTTGGGGCAGATTGCTCAAAACCTAGGCAACTTTGTAAACAGCATTAACAAAAAGAACAATTGCTACTTGGAGAGATAACTTGTACCACCAGATAGGCAGCTCAGTGTAGCTGGAGGCTGCCACAGAAAATATACAAAATCAACAACCACAGAGTGGAGATGCTGGCAACTCTTTCATTAGAGCAGATAGTGGGCATGGGGACAGTGCACACAGAAGTGGGACCCTGGGCCAGCGTGGTTGCCTTTTAAGTGGACATGAGAGACAGTTCAATCTGCCAAGAACCAGGAGCCTTCCAAGGCCAGAGTGGAGGTGGGGAAGGAGTAGGGTGGAGAGCAATGAGGGTGAGTTGGGGGTGGGGTATGCCTCTGTGGGAAGACAGCATTTGATTCAGGTACTCATTTTTGTTTTCATGAATAAAGCCAAAAGGGCTCCCCTCACCCCTGCAGCACAGAGCTGAGGGCTTTTTCCTTTTCTGCTGAAGGTTATAATTCTATTCTTGCCACTCTGGCTCCCTTTGCCTAGGATAAATTGCATATAAATTAGAGTGACGTCATTCCCCTTTTTACCAATAGCATGTGAGCCAGTTCACATTGTAGAAATGCATGTTGTGGCAAAATAGATGTATTATGATCTGAAACAACATGGACAGAATATAACCGCTCCAATTATATTCCTTTTCTCTTTCCATTACTAAGCCTCTCTTAGCCCATCTTATTTACAAATTGAGCTGCTTTCTTAAAAAAAGAAAGAGATAATAATATGGGAGAAGACCTACTGGTAATCTATTTTCACACTCTTATAATTGAAATGAAAAATACTCCCTTTGTACATGAAGAAGATACTGATGACCCACTGTCAAGCAAACATGCCAGGATTTTTCTCAGGAGTAGAGATGAGTGATTCTGACCCAATAACATAATTTAACCCATATATTTTATGATCAAGGCTATACATTTGCCAGACAGATGGCCTGGTTTAGGGCACAGTCTGTCATCATGAAATAGATTTTTCTCTAACTCATCCATATGAGCACTGAATATAGAATTTAACCCTATTACCACCAAGGTCAAATAAATGATGTAATTTTCTCTGCCACAATATATAACCCTGGTCTCCCTGCTATTTAGATTTATCCTACTGAGTATCTCAGAATAAGTCATTTAAGAGGCAAATAAGTAGCCAAAATCTTAATCAATTGAAGAGGAAAAAATATTTTCATAAAAGCATCTACGAGGCTGGGTGCAGTGGTTCATGCCTGTAATCCCAGCTCTTTAGGAGGCAGAGGCAGGCAGATCACCTGAGGTCGCCAGTTCGAGACCAGCCTGGCCAACATGCAGAAACCCCATCTCTACTAAAAATACAAAACATTAGCCAGGTGTGGTGGCACATGCCTGTGATACCATCTACTCGGGAGGCTGAGGTAGGAGAATCCCTTGAACCTGGGAGGCAGAGGTTGCAGTGAGTTGAGATCGCACCATTGCACTCCAGCCTGGCCAACAAGAGTGAAATTCCAACTCAAAAAAAAAAAAAAACCCACATCTTTAAATGAAGTTGTAGCTTAGCATCTCCCAGAAGCAAACCCTGAGACAGAGATTTGAGTGTAAGTAGTTTATTTGGGAGGTGATCCGAGGAACCACTGAAGGGAAAGGGTAGAAAAGTGGAAGGCAGCCAAAACAGTGTGTGTTAGCAAGTTACCACTGTGGGTAACTGGAGCTTAATCCCCCCTGGGAATGTCAGAGCCAATGTAGAACATGCAACTCAGAATTATCCCACAGAAGGGAAGGGAATTACAGTATTGATACATCAACACCCATCAGTCATTGGTCAAGGGTTGCTTAGGAAGGGAGATATTCATTCTTCGGCACTTTTGACCTCCCCTGCACGTGGGCTTTGCTTTTCTTTTTTATTTATCTTTTATTTATTTTTTGCCTTGTCATTACCTCCAACTCGGGGCTTTGCTTTTCAAAGAAAGCTTTCAGGCTGAGTGATGCAGATGCTGGCAGTTGAAAGTTGAGTCCATGTGCCTTATAATGTTAAGGACAAGGGGATTATGGGCATAGCATCTGATCCCAGCACTGATAAAAACAGCTTGTTTTTCCAACCATTATGAAATGTAATACTTTTTTTTTTTTTTTTTTTGAGGCAGAGTCTTGCTCTGTTGCCCAGGCTGGAGTGCAGTGGTGCGACCTCGGTTCACTGCAACCTCCACCTCCCGGGTTCAAGCAATTCACCTGCCTCAGCCTCCCAAGTAGCTGGGATTACAGGTGCCTGCCACCACACGTGGCTAATTTTTGTATTTTTTTTTTTTTTTTAGTAGAGACAGGGCTTCACTATGTTGGCCAAGCTGGTTTCGATCAGCTGACCTCAGGTGATCCACCTGCCTCAGCATCTCTAAGTGCTAGACTTACAGGCATGAGCCACCATGCCCAGCCGAAATGTAATACTTTTTTGTGTTAGTATATGGTGTAAAAAAATAAGATTCAAATGGCTACTACACAGTATTTTCTAGGAAACCTAATTTTAAACTGATACCAGGTTTTATAATTTTTATCATCATCGCTGTCAATATCACCTGTACTCCTTCATAAGTGCCAGATGAAGATCTATGCTATGTAAACTCAAGCAGAAATGATATCTTTAACCTAAAAGCATACATGCAATGCTGCTCCAATGTTGCTAAGGTCTATATTTTCTAGAGAAATCTTTAATAACATTTGAAACTTGCTTTGCATTTAAATTTTATTCTGTGTGATTTTTTTTTTGTTTTTAATACAAACATTTTCTAGGTCTCTACCACCTTTAAATATCCGACCTCCATATCAGCCCTATAAACAGCAAAATCAAGTTAAATATCTGGGTCGTCGATCCAAGCAAGCTCTAATGAAAGTTGAAAAAATGAGAAAAGCTTATTTGGCTAAAGAAGAAAATGCTTCTGAGGCAACCGTAAGTTTAACTTGTACTGAATTCATTGTTTTGGACAATATTCAAACTGTCTGTAAGTAGCTGTACTTACATAAATGGAATTTTCCTAAAGTTCAAGGCTGAAACACATTTGACACATTTTATCATGAATAATATAAAGCTAATTTCATCTTGGTAACATTTAAAAAATATTCTTAATATTGGTAGCAATCCTGATAAAAACCAGCTGTTTTGGCTCCATATCAGCATGAGTTGGCAAAAAAAAATTATTGTCTGTATGTTGACACTGCTGATTCAGCACACCTCTGATGGTGCTTTTCTCAAAATGGAAGTCACTTCTATCTAAACTTACCAAGAACTATACTATATAAAGTCTGCCTCAGTATACTTTTACATCATAGGAATTTACAGTGGACATATATTCATATATTACTTTGTAATTTAAAAAATCACTGTAAATATTTTGGGATGAGGATAGTCAAATATTAAAATACAAAGGAGTAAAAAAACAAATATATAACACTTTCCACTTTTATTGATAATTCTGCCTAGGAACCGAAAATGGACACCTCAGGTGCAAAGGATAATTTTCATCTCCACTCCAGTTTTTGACATTGTGAAAACTAAGGAATCTACATCAGAAAGTCAACTGAAAAAAGAAAAAAAGGACTTACTTTTCTGGTATCAAAATTTGGCAGCTGATAATTCTCCATCATGATAATGCACAGCTAAATGACAGAAAACCCAAGTTGTTTAACAATCTGCTTGTCTGTCTATAAATGATGCATATGAGTAATAAAGGAAAATAACATAGAAGCAAGTCCTGAGTGTCCTCTTCAGAGTTTCGCTTTTGTTGCTGAGGCTGGAGGACAGTGGCACAATCTCCACTCACTGCAACTTCTGCCTCGTGGGTTCAAGTGATTCTCCTTCCTCAGCCTCCTAAGTAGCTGAGATTATAGGCATGCACCACCACACCTGGCTAATTTTGTATTTTTAGTAGAGATGGGGTTTCTCCATGTTAGTCAGGCTGGTGTCGAACTCCCAACCTCAGGTGATTCAGCCCACCTCGGCCTCCCCAAAGTGCTGGGATTATGGCTGTGAGTCACTGTGCCTGCCTGAGTATGCTCTCCTAACTAAATGTGTGACAATATTTTAAGCCTTTTTGTATTGCCGTAGGAACACATTCTTCTACTGACAGAATTTTAATCTAAACAAATTATTTCTATTAGTTGCCCTTTAACTAGCAGTATACAGTTTTGTTCAAGAAATTATGAGTAAATTAGTCCCTGAAATTTTTATCCAATTTGGATTTTCCTTCAATTAAACAAATATCTGAACAGGCCATGCTTAGCATAAATATTAGAATTCACAGAATGAAAGACTTCTTTTGAGTCAGCTTCCAGTGCCTTTTTTTAAGTTGAAATTTGATTTTACAGAACAGCTTGTGAATGACCTATTCTGAATTATAATAAAAGTAATAATGGATTTATTGCTACAGGAGGCATGACATGGCATATCTAATTATTATTGAGCATGAGCAGCACCAGGAACATAATGTTGCATCTGCTTTAATGTACTTTGGATATTTTTCAAGTATCACGTCTGTTTGGAGTAATATTTATCAATTTCATTTTGAACTGATAAATTGTCATTCCTGATATAGTACAAATTATTGATTTCTTTTGTGATCCAGGCTGTTGGATCATATCAAACTTTACACAGAGGCTATGATAATTAAAGTGCAATTATTTATTGAACTTTAAAAATCTAATTTTTTATTTTACTTAACATTTAAAACACGTAGGTTGATTGCTTATCTAATTCAGTCATGGCAGCCTGTAAGAGGATCTCATGCTCTACTAAAATATTCTCTTACATGATAAAGAATATTGGAGTAAATGTGTATGATTCTCACTAGAATGTATTTAACATAAATGTGCACTCTTTCACATTCATGCATTGTCATTTGATATCCAAAAATGCAATGGTAATCCCTTGTTTTCAGAGCTTGTCCTGGACACTGGTTAAATAGAAAAACACTTATTTGTCCTCGTGAGCCACACATGTTTTCATTCATTAATTTGGAATGTAGTCTCTCATCTGATCAAATGCATATCAGAGTCTGTCTACCTATAATATGTGTAACAACAAAGGAAGATTTTAGGTAGCAAGATGGAGGGAAAAGACAAAGGAAGGGCATCTTCATGTTTCATGGTTCCCACTTCTCATATTTCATTAGCTATAACTTTGTCTCATCGTAACACCTAGCTACAGGAGAGGCTGGGAAATGTATTTTTGTTTGGTGCATTTATGTAACCAGCTAAAATTCTGTTGTTATAAAAGAAAGGGTAGTGGATATTAAGGCACAACTAGCTTCTGCTCCCAGAGATCATGTCTTCTACTGATTCTTTTAATTCACATTAAATAATATAGCCACATTACAGAAAATCCATTTAAAAGTAGAATTATATATAATCCCATTACCATAATATAATGACTGTTTTTATTTGCTTATCCCTTTCTAATCTGTCTAAATGCATACATATTTTTCACATGGTTGTAATAATAGCTAACATATGGATTTAAACTTTTCACTTATATCTTAAACATAATCCACTTAAAAATAATTTCATGGGTATACAATAGCCCATTGAATTGATAAAGCATAATTTATCTACCATACTCATATCATTGGATATTTCAGTTGTTTCTAATTTTTCACTACCATAGGTAATTAACATTAGAATGAACATCTTCATACACAGTCTTCTTTTGATTTTTCTGTTATTTATTTTAACCTAATTGCACTATAATCAGAGAGTATGATTTGTATGATACTGATTCTAGAAAACTTGTTGAGACTTGCTTTATAGCCAAGCACATTGTCCATCTTCATAAATGTTTCTTATACTCTTAAGAAAAATGTACTTGCTTATACACATTACTGGAGGTAACAGAAAAAAAAAAGGTTAAAACAAAAAGGAAAACAAATTTAAAAAAAAGAAAAATGTGCATTTAGCTAGATGCAGTGGCTCACCCCTGTAATCCTAACACTTTGGGAGGCTGAGGTAGGTGGATCACTTAAGGTCAGGAGTTCGAGAAACAAACAGTGCTAGGTGGTAAAACTTTGTCTCTACTAAAAATACAAAAAATTAGTACCTGTAATGCCAGCTAACCAGGAGGCTGAGGCAGGAGAATTTCTGGAACCCAGGAGGTGGAGGCTGCAGTGAGCCGAGATCACACCACTGCACTCCAGCCTGGGCAACAGAAGGAGACTCTGTCTCAAAAAAAAAAAAAAAGAAAGAAAGAAAGAAAAAGAAAACTGTGCATTCTCTATAGTTGGAAAAAAGTTCTGCACATGTCCTTCTGATCAAGCTTGTTAATTATATTTTTTTGTTTTCCATATGCTACTAAGTGCTGGAACACATTTCCCAGCATTTTTTGCAGCTATGTTGGGACCCTGTGAACTGACTTCCGGCCAGAGTAATGTGGGCAGCAGTGATGCATACCACTTCTAGCCTTGGCCCCTAAAATAAATCAAAAATAAATTTTTGATCTGTGTGAGGTCAATTATTGAGAAAGGTGTATGTTATATATGTCCTACTATGGTGGAAACTTGTCAGTTTCTCCTCGTAATTTTTTTTCCTTTGTTATTTGAAGATATTATTAGGCACATATATAATTTTGGAATTAGCATCTCTTCCTGGTGAATTTAATCTGTTGTCATTATATAGTTACTTCCTTTTTTTTTTTTTTTTTAGAGACAGGGTTTCACTCTGTTGCACAGGCTGGAGTGCAGTGGCACAATCATAGCTCACTGCAGCCTCGACCTCCTAGGCTCAGGTGATCCTCCAGCCTCAGTCTCCCAAGTAGCAGGACTTAAGGACTACAGGTGGGCACCACCAAAGCTAGCTAATGTTTTTAACGTTTTTATTCTTGTAGAGATGGGGTCTCACTATGTTGCCCAGGCTGACCCGGAACTCCTGGTTTCAAGATCCTCCCTCCTCAGTTTCCCAAAGTGCTGGAATTATAGGCATGAGCCACGACTGCTGGTCCCTTTATTCCTAATAATGCATTTTGCCTAGAAGACTTTTTCTTTTTTTTTAGACAGAGTCTTGCTCTGTCACCCAGGCAAGAGTACAGTGGTGGGATCTCGGCTCACTGCAACCTCTGCCTCCCAGGTTCAAGCAATTCTCCTGCTTCAGCCTCCTGAGTAGCTGGGATCACAGGCATACACCACCACGCCCAGCTAATTTTAAAAAAGATTTTAGTAGAGACGGGGTTTCACCATGTTGGTCAGGCTGGTCTCGAACTCCTGACCTCAGGTGATCCACCCGCCTCTGCCTCCCAGAGTGCTGAGATTTCAGGCGTGAGCCACCACACCCAACTGGAAGACTATTTTGTCCAATGTGAAAAGAGCTACTCTAGCTTTCTTCCGGTTAGTGTCTGCCTGGCATATCCTTTTCCATCTTTTTAATTTTTCAACCTTTTCATGTGTCAGAGACTGGATAGATGCTCACGGACTTCATGTTCTCTTCCTGGGAACACACTTCCCGGCATTTTTTTTTTTTTTTTTTTTTTTTTTGCAGCTATGTTGGGACCCTGTGAAATGACTTCTGGCCAGAGGAATGTGGGCAGAAGTGATGTATACCACTTCTAGCCTTGGCCCTTAAAATAAACATGGTCTTCTATTCTCCCCCTCCACTCCCCCTCGTTCCTGTGGCTGGAGGCAGGGAACTCCATGGTGGTAGAAGCAGGATTGAAGGATTCCAGATTCCTCTGTCAGTGATTGAAGGAAAGACAGCCAGAGCAGCAGCCTGACTTGATGAACTGTAATGTGAGCAAGAAATAAACTTCGTTGTGTTAAGCCCCAATAATCTTAGGAGTTATTTGCTACAACAGATAACAATCATTCCGATATAATGTCAAATACACTGTCTTTGTGTTTTAGGTTTTCTCCAGCATATAGCAAATATCTAGATTGTTTTTAATTCAATCCCAGGACATCTGTCTTTTAACTGGTGAGTTTAATTAATTTACAGTTTATTGCAATTTTAATTAATTGCTAACATATTTGGAATTATTTTTACCATTTTATTTTGTGCTATCTCTCCTGCATTTTCTTTGTCCTTCCCCTGCTCTTCCTGTTTTCTTTCAGATTTCAATTCTACTTTTTTCCCCCTACTGTTTTGGAAGTTATACACTCTGGGATTTTATTTTGTTGTTGGTTTTGAGACGGAGTCTCGCTCTGTCACCCAGGCTGCAATGCAGTGGTGCCATTTTGGCTCACTGCAACCTCTGCCTCCTGGATTCAAGCGGTTCTCCTGCCTCAGCCTCCCAAGTAGCTGAGACTACAGGTACCTACCACCATGCCTGGAGAATTTTTGTATTTTTAGTAGAGATGGGGTTTCCCCATGTTGCCCAGGCTGGTCTTGAACTCCTGGTCTCAAGTGATCCTCCTGCCTCAGCCTCCCAAAGTGCTGGGATTACAGGCATGAACCACCAAGCCTGGCCAACTCTTTTTTTTTTTTTTTCCCCTCCACCTCCTCCTCCTCCCTCTGTTTTTGTCATTACGTGTAAATTTTGGCATGTGTTCTTAAAATCTAAAGTTAATCAACAGCTCCACTCTCCTCCCAAACTAAGCATGCTAATCACCATTCTTTTGTCTTACAGGTTATTGTTGTGTCTAATATTTTAGCCCTATCTTAAGTTCCAACTTAGACATTATTACTGTTTTATAAATCTCAGACTTTCCTTCTGAGATCATTTTTCTTTATCCTGATGTATATTCTTAAAAGCTCTTTTAAGGAG